GGATAATCCTCCCATCTGCAAATTCAAGTCTGTTTCCTGAAGCCCCTCTCCTAAGGGAGCTTGACCATCCCTGATTTCACCTCTTCCGGAATGTGATCTCTTCCTCATCACTGGATTCTTTCTGTCAATTCTTAAAGAGTTCAAGTTCAACTACTCTAGTTTCTTAAAAGACAAAACAACAAACTCTCCACAAATCTCTTACTACACAATGGTGAGTAAAAATTGGCTAAGCAAAAACAAATTACAATTTTATAATTTGTAGCATATTCTAAATATTATGGATAATGAGATGAGTGAAGAGATTAAGAATACTTATTCCTGCACAGACTTCCCTGTTAAAATATCAGCTCCACCACATGCCAACTGTAGGACTTTTAGCAAGGTATTAATCTTTGTGCCTCAGTCTTCCCAGCTATAAAATTTGATATATTTGTAGTACCTGCCTACCTTATAAGGTATTTTACACCAACTAAAAAATTAATATTTTTAAAAGAGCTTAGAACAGTGYCTGGCACATAAGAAACATTATACAAAGGCTATAAAATGTCTAAAATAAAATTACAGAGAACTGGTTCCCTGCCTTTCCTGGCTATACCCTTGCAGACTGGTAAAATCAAATTTTGACCAGATAAATATTCACTAGAAACATTTCACTCATGTGAAACTTCATTCTGGAAAACTAATTTTTTTTAACTAACAATTAACTTTTATAGAAAGAAATTGAGCCCTGATTGTACAAAGCTCAAATAAATTTTTTTTTTTTTTTTTTTTTTTTGGTGGTGCTGGGGTTTGAACCCCGGGCTTTACACATGCAAGGCAAGCACTCTACCAACTGAGCTATATCCTCAGCCCCAGAAGTGTGTTATTTTTAATGATCATCGAATAGCTGGCCTACTCTGGCCCATGGCTAATCTCTGTCTCCAAACTCTATAGTCTATTTCCTAAAGCCCCTATCTTATGGGACCTTCATCCTGGGCCTTCTGAGCTGGTGATGCTACACAAACAGCTGGGGGAAGGAAAGTGGAAAAGAGGTCTGCAGCAGGCAAGYGCCAGCAGGATGCTGTGAGACTACACCTGACTTTACTCATACTTCATACAAGAGGTATCCATACCACGCAGCAGCGGCCTAACAATCTAGGCCAACTTCAGGCGGAGCCAGTAACTGTTGGAAGATAAAATTAGCACCAATTTTCCAAATATGGCCTGGCTTTGATGATGATTTAAGGGTTGTTATTTATTTAATTTTATCTATCTATCTATCTATTCCATTTTCCTGGTACCTGAGGAGATATTATATGCTTCACAATTTTGTGGTTTTTACACATTGCTCCTTTTGTATGTTTGATACTTGAAAGAATGGAATCTAAGATTTTGATCACAGTYGGGTAGCAAGAGCTGATGCTACTTTTCTTTCTTGTTTGTTTGTTTATTATCTGTGGTATTGAGGATCCAACCTAGGGCCTTAAGCATGCCAGACAAGTACTATATGACCGAGCTACACCTCCAGCCCTACTTTGCTTTTCTTGAAATATTTTGAGGACTCAATTTTAAGAACCAATTTCTAGAGCATGGACTATTCCTAAGGGCWTATATTGATTCCAGTATTGCCATTATCATTAGTTTATAATAATTTCTTATTAAGACTATGACTCTCATTCTGGTCAATAAAATCCTGTCCAACTATGGAAAATTTCAGACAAACACTAAAGCATTTAAGGAATAATTCTGAAGAGGCCTACAATGTACAGGTTAAGATGACAGGGCTCTGGGACCAGACTACAAGATTTGTGGCTCTGTTTTACCTCTTGCCACTTACAGAACATTAGGCACATTACCTAATCACTCTGTGCATTAGTTGCCTCACCTTTAAAACTGATGCTTATAACAGTATATTTAGAGCACTTAAAACAAAGTTGGACAGATGGCTGTTTGCTTCTTAAAGGAGGGAGGTTTAAAAAACCAAAGTCTTAACTAGTTGTCTGCCTCATAAGAGAAATAAACATCCTCCTTTCCTTCTCTCTCCTTTACAGGTCTTGCAAATGTTGGCCCCTCCATCTGTACTTAGATGAGGTAACTTCCTGTGATTAATGGTCAGGGCAATGCTGTAAAGATCTCACTTAGATTGCATTTTATTTTTGTAAACTGAAACAATAATGACGCTATATAACAACAGAAGCATTCATTTAACTATACCATTTTTTTTTTGTCCACRGTTTCATTGTTTGGAATTAGATTCTGAACTATCAGAAAACAAGAAATCAAATGACTCCCATTTCTTCAAAAAATAAATACAAGGAATTTATGAGGGAGTGGGAGAGGGAAGCAATAGGGAAAATGTGACTTATAAGATTTAATCAACCAGTTGCAATGTATGGATCTGATTTAGTTCTTGATTTGAATAATTTGTGAACAATATTTATGAGYCAACAGGGGAAATATAAATACTGACAGGAATCAGATATTTGATGATATCAAGATAAATATTGAGTTTTTAGGTRGCAATTTCTTTCAGAGTTCCCTTTTTTAGAGATATACCCTGAAATACTTATATTTAAAAATAGTTAGAGGGTTACGAATTTGACTCAAAATCATCTGGGGGCAAAGAGGAGGCTTGGACAGGGATATAATTAAGAACAGCCCTGAGCTGATAACTGTTGAAGCTGGTGGTGGGTATATCAGCATGCCTCATACTGTCCTACCTTTTTAATGTGTAATTCTAAAATAAAAAGTTGAAAAGAGAAAGACATAATGATTTAAAAATACCCACATAAGAAGAAATCTAATAGTACCCTAAAATCACATCTTACATGTATAACACTTTCTTCTGAGATGATGCAGACATTTTAGATTCATTATCTCTGCGGGGCACACTGAAGGAAGCAAGGATCCTTATCAGTTCTAGGATGGAGGGAAAGGTAGGGGTGCATAAAGAGGTCAGGACTATGGAGGTGCCATCAACTCCAGGGACAGGAATCAAGCCCTGTCTTGAGACTGTGCACCCTGTACCTCTTCACAAAGGGACTGTGCCCTGGTGTGGTTGGCAGYTGGAATCAAACTTACTCCTGACAAGATTTGGAACTCAGCCTGAGAGATAACAATCAGTGACTGTCAGAGGCCTTAGAAATGTGGATAAGCTAAACTGGAGATGGTTTCCAATACAGAGTAAGCTTATGTTTTGATTCTGATTCATTCTTTTGCCAAACACCTGTACAGTGATTGTGAGTTTGAGAGGTGAGAGCCACAGGTGAACCAACTCCGTGAGCAGAGGCAAAGAGGACTTCAGGCTTCATTTCTCCTGGGTCTTCACAGGTCAGGTGGGATATTAGAGACAGGGGAAGAGAGGAAGGAGGCAGGGGAGCACCAAAGACCAAGCACATTACAGACCAGGAAAAGGGGCCCACTCCTGGTCTGAACTTGGGGACCACAAAGACAATATTTTGGGAGTTATTTTCTTACTTTCACCAAGTAAAAAGGAGAGCTCTGGAAATCAATGACTATATAGAATGTTTTAGAAAACTTGAAAATGTCTATAACCAGACAAAACTCAGGAAGAAGTTAATCGTAACCCTAAATTAATATAATCTGACATCAATGCAATTAGAACATTAGTGGCAAAAGAGAATTTATGTTTCTTAAAGACTTCAGCTTCAAGGAATGAATGAGCAAGAGTGCCATCGTTGTTCCTTTTGTTTGTACAGTTTGTTAAATATATTAAAGAAACCATATTACATGCAAACAATGTTACAAAGATTTTGTCAAACTCTACCCATAAACCATATATACTTCAGCAGAGATGATTTATCTTCAAATAATCTGTCACATGTTTTTTTTAAAAAGTGCTAAACTATAACTTGGATCAGTCTTTCAAACCCTTAACTTCCCTTTTTAATGTGCTGATTTGTGAAGGGAGAAAGGTCTTCTAACACTCCGATTCATTTCCTCCAGCAGTGTATAAGGTAGATTTTCAAGTGGTATTGCCATTGTTATTTCCACACCTCATAAATTCTGTCCTTACCGAACCAAAACACTACCTTCTAAATTCTACGGACACTATCCACTGTCATGAAATAAAATGTACACTTACCAGTAAAAAATGACTAACAGAAATTAACTCACCAAAGATTTTATGASTATAAATGTATTTTAAAAACCCTGATATATACTTGCTAGAAAAAGAAATCAATTTTATGAGAAAAGAAATATTCCACAATTATTTTATGTTTATGAAACAATGTGTGGGGCTCAGAATTCTTTAAAATTGCTAGTACTATTTTCATAAGTAATTTTTAAAGCATGGTACAATGAAGATAACTCTGTGTGATTTSAGTGACTTAATTTTAATTCTTGATTTAAATGTAAAAATTTTAACTTAAAAGATGGTTTGCTATATGCTTCACTATGATTTTTTTTTTTCTAAAAATTAAAAACTTGCATTGGTGATGTACCTTAGTGGTTGAAMATTTGTCTAGTATGCACAAAGCCTTGGGTTCAATCTCTAACACCGAAAAAAAAAAAAAAGTTAAAATTAACATTTTCCAAAGGACAACAGGTAAGACTCATATAACTGAGAAAAAAGTGTGAAAACTCATCATCATATTATAATTCTGAAACTTTACAGAAAAGATTTATGAATATTTAACTATCTCTTGATATCAACTGATCCAAACAGGATAAGAATAATATAATTGTTTACAGAAAACTGAAAGAAAAAAAATGTGCTGACCTTGATAAGCAAACCAATTTCAGACTGTAAAGAAACTTCCTTCCTTGTATTTCCAATGCAAAACAAACAAAACAAATAACAGACTTGAAACCAAAGCCATGCTTCCATTTGATGTCAATTATTACAATTCTATAGSCTGTATAGAGTTCTACAGATGAGAAAATTGAGACTGACAGAGTAAAATTGTACAAAAGTCACAGAACTTAAAATGTGCTGTATCACAAATYTCTACCATCCTAACATTATTTCCATAGGTAGTATCTCCATATGTAGTTACCTGATTGGTCGATTCTCTTTACTGTCAAAGAGGGAGAAGATGACCTCCAGCTCCTCTCCCAGGTTGGAACACATAAGGCTCTTCATCTGGACAAAGAGATGGTGACTGCTGGCCTGCACTGGGGTGTCCTTCTTCCGATGTCGATGTTCCATCTGAATGACAACACCCCACMACCCCAGCAAAAAACATGATTAGAATGGACCAAAGAAAATAGTGGCACTCAACAAATTAATTAATTATAGTATGGTAGTGATGTCTCAGGCTAAATTTTCTTTTTTTTTTAATTTTAGGATTCAGTTCTAATTTAAATTTAAAATTTCTGCCAATTTCTAAAATGAGAAACTATGAAGTGTATATTATAGCTCATGAAGGCAATTTTGCTTTAAGACTTAAAATTACCAATGTTAAAATCACATCAACTCATAGAGGAGATTCAGAAGGAAGTTCAAAGGATTCTGCAGCTCCCCTATCAACTCCCAGGGTGAGAATAAACTATCATTCATCTTTTAAAAAACATATTATATTTCACTAACCATTGCACACTGATGGTAGCTGAGCAAACGTAGCTATGACTTCTCATTTCTCAAAACTAAAAGTCCTTCTGTAAATTACACTAAATTGCAAAAYTGTAGTTTTGTGAGACAGTGTATGCAATGATATTCTATCACTAAAGCAAGAACATGTTTCTAACTTGCTGAGAACCTACAGGGAAACAGATTTAGGAAAGCCAGCAAGGTATCTAAAGGAAAGAATTGGTATCTTTGTCACAGCTGGAGGYAGGACCAGAACTGAGAGCTCTGGGATTAAGGGAAGAGAGGATCCAAGGGTAAGAAGAACATGGGAAGATCACTCATTCAACATATATCCGTTAAGTCTCTGATATGTGCCAAGCAACGGGAATGCAATGGTGAGTAAAAAAAGAAACGATCTATGCCTTCATAGAGATATCCAGTGGGGGAAACAGACATTAGCACAACTGTGTACCCCSACCCTCTGTAAAACTGAAATTGAATGAGTGAAGGGCAAGGCCTATATTACCAGGAAAGGTGGGGAGGTGGGGTGAACTTAGTCTGAGCAGTCAAAGAAGGCTTTCTGGAAAAGTGACACTGAGGCTGAGAGCTAAAGATGGAGCAGAAATAATAAACTCTCTAGGACAGGACTCCACATGCTGCTTATAACAAGGAACCAAGTTGCTTCTCCTCTTGATATTTTGGAGGCTGATACTTCAACTTTTATAAAATACAGTAAAAGTACCATGGCAATGTCAAAATGGTGAAAAAAAATTTCTAATTATTTGCTTGCCAGTCTTATACTTGGCCCAATTTTCAACAGTTCAGAGTCCAGCTGGCTCTCGAACGGCACTTTGAGGGACAATGATTTAGGAGAAAACCACAGGAAAAACACATGGAGGGGCATGTGTAGTAACAGAACAGGTGCTAAAAAAGTGGAGGTTTATCACTTTCATATCACACACTACTAATGAATTCATCTCTTCTGAATCGCTTGACAATGAAAAAAAAAAGCCTCAGAGATTTTTAACTCCATGGTAACTAAGCCACAGCCTTTGTTGGAGGTTAAAGAATATAACCCCATTTTTACCTTAGCCATCTTTTTAAAGCTTCTAAGTAGAGTTCAGTAATTAATGAACAACACACCAATTTTCAAGCCAAARTGCCATCTTTATAATTTCCACCTGTAAATCACATAGTGGCATAAATTACCAGATTTTTTTTCATGTTCTGAACTTTTATTTTCAACCACTTGAAAAGCAAAGGTTAAAATAAAAATGAGATCAACTAAATGCACCTGTAATCACTTTCCACTCAAGAGATACACTGGGCACCTCTTGGTAACAATGCAGAGCGAAGAGTAAATACATTTTTTTTAAGTGGGCCTCAGCATTGTGGTATGTGTTGACCATAATTATTAGAAAAAAAAGCTATTTGGAAAAGAGTATTCTAACTTTAGAGGGGAAAAAACATAATTCTGTCTTGTTTTCTATGAATTTTCTCTACTTTGTGCTTTTAAAATTCTTTTTACTATGGCAAAAGAAGCATCATATATTCATAAAACTATATCTCTTTAACTCACAAAGACTGTTTTCCCTTAAATTGCTAACTGACTTGCTAAGTTACTTAAAAAGCTCAACATACATAGACTTCAAAGGGAAACATAGCACAGGCTGCTCTGATTAAATGTCTACGATATGGCAGAGCTAGAGAACCAGATGTAAAAAACTTGCAAGAAAAGCACTGACCTCAAGGAGGTGTCTGCTTTTGACTACAAAAAGCACAGTTTCTAGCATCCATCACAACCTTCACTAAGAACCAATGGGAAAATAAGCTCCCTTACTCATGCAAGGAATCCAATATATCTAGATCAGTGGTTCTCAACCTTGGCTGCACTTTAAAGTCACCAAGAGAGTTATTAAAAAGTACTTATACGGAGGTCCTATCCCAGAACAATTAAATTAGAATTTCTAGGGGATGGGGGTCCAGAGAGTGGTAGTTTTAAAAGCTCCCCAGGTGACTCTAATGGGCAATGAGGGTTGAGAATCACTGATCAGGATCATATGCAAAGAGATGCAAATCAGAGCAGACTGACAAATGTCACATCCTCTGAACAACAACTGCCTYGGTTTTTGCATACATGCTAGTCTGATTCCACCCTTTGCACATGTGGCACAACCCTCCAGTCTGGCACACCCTGGCATTGAAAGCTCTCCTCTCCCTCCCTTCAACCTTCAACCTGGAACTCCCTCCTAGGACTAGGATGAATTTGGGCTTAAGTAGGTTATGATTACCTGCTTATCTCTTGATAATTCACTGCTTTGGGGAAGTGCTAAAAATATCTTTGTGAAAATATTATTGCAATAACAAAATTTACAAGGCATATTCACATTTCAAAAGTAGTTACTAAAAAGTAGTAGTGATAATATAAAGAGTAGTAATTGTGTAGCTATAACACAMAAAAAAAATCCATCTTGAAATAATTTATGGTTAAAATGTACGTGCCAGTTACTCTACATGTGATTACAGTTTATCTAGACCTTGGATTAAGAGAAAAATATATTCATCCCAAAGATTTACAAACTGACTGAACTTTTTAATCTTCATATAATACATTAATCATCAGATGAATTGTCCATATCAGGATTTCTTAACCTCAGTGCTAATAACAATTTTGGCTAAATATCTCTTTATTTCCATATTTTTATTGGTGCATTATAGTTGTACATAATGATGGGATCTGTTGTTACATATTTGAATATACACACAACAATATAATTTAGGCAATAGCATTCCCCATGATTTCTTATTACCCTCCCCTACTCCTTGCCCCCTTTCCTCTATTCTACTGATCTCCCTTCAATTTTCATGAGACCCCCTAGCCCCCCCTTCTTTTCTCTTTTCCTTTCTAGCTTCCATGAGTGAAAACACACAATTCTTAACCTTATGCGTTTAGTTTGGCTGAATATGTATTGTGGGGGCTATCCTAGGTTTTGTGGAATGTTTCATGATTTTTTCCTGGACTCTGGCCTCTCTTCACCTCCACTTCTGTGTGATAACCCCCAAATGCCTTCAGACAATGTCAAGTGTACTGGGAGGTGGGGTGTAAATCTCCCTCTGAGAACCATAATTTTCCATTTGTAAAGCTCTGGTCTAACCCACTAAGGATTAAGCAAGAAGATAACATGATCCTATAAAACCATAAAAGGTTCCTATGAAGATACTCTGCAGGCCAAAAGAAACAGACAATCAGCTAATTAGCTTCTCTATTTATAGCAGGATTGAGATCTGGCCTCTGGCACTAGACAAGACTTTCTGRGTGGACATATGTTAACACTGTGAGGCTTAGCACTTTTACTGCTTAGATGAGCACAATTAGGTGAGAAAGATCTGCTAACAGGCTAGCAAAAACCTAAAGCAAGACAATTTTTCCTCCTGATGCAATATGAATTTAGTGACATGAAAAAAAAAACTGTCTTATAAATATGACCCTAAAGAAAACATCTTCTGTTGGACATTTTACCTCCATGTCGTGGTACTTGGTCCAAGTAACAGCAAGCAACAGCAACAGCAAGGACTGTGCCTCCCAATTCTCCTTGGTGAGTCAACAGACATTTTCATATTGTGCAGAAAAACGACCAGGACTGCAGAGACTGATTATTGCTAAGTCAATGTACACCTTAAAGAAGACAGCATGTTCTCCTAAAGTTTATAATCACTGGGTTTTTCTCAGGCTATAGGTCTTTGCTTTAGAAATAGTAAAATGCAATGCTACATTTTTTAAGAAACAGTAAAATGTTATGGAGGAGAAATTAAGGTTTCAAGTGAAATTATAATGTTTTATTCTCCTCATCTGTACAACAAAGACTTTGGGCTAGAATCTATGATATAAAATACTAAAATATCCCCTCTTTTCTTTCTCACCAATGGCAGATGTGGCTAATCAATCAAAGCCTAGATGAGATCTCAGAATTTTATCACCACTACACTCCAGGCAGCCACCACCAGTAAACTGCAATGTTAACAGAGGTGAAATCAATTTGTCACCCACGTATAAGGTTAAGTCAAAAGAACTGAGGCAAAATTGCATATACAGAAAATAAAACTAGGTGGAGAAAGTGTTTGTGTCAGACATTATTGTTGCTTGTCAAGTATCTGACATCCTCAGCTAAAGCTGGGGGTGTGATTATGCTCTGCCAGTGAGATGTAAAGGTCAGTGCGGAACGGAACTTTCAGGAAGGCTCATGAACATAACTGAATCAATGGAGAGGAAACTTTGTCCTCTGAATGCCTGGAGTTCAGATGTAATGGCTATGACTCTTGCAGCTCTACTGTGCTTTGAAGAGTCCTTGGGAAGCCATCTATGCTATGACATCTACTGAATCTCTTTTCATATCATGAAGCTGCAAACCAATTCAGAATTTCCTGTTTATAGATTTGCACATTTTGAGAATTAAATTTCTGTTGTGTCTAAGCTTCTATTATTTACTTCATTCCAAAGAGCCAACTCTAATCTAATATTGAGTACAGATTATATCACTTATTCTTACCATGCTGCTTCCCTAATGCAGATGAGATAAAAGAATAAAAACCAATTACCTATAGAGGTAATTTTGCAAATATAAGGAAAGCCATTTTACATGTTTTTTTTTAAATTAAGTAATGAACAAGAAAAGAATTATTTTCCCACTTAGTACATGAAGAAACTAAGGCTCAGAGACGAAATAACAAGTCCAAGACCAGAGAGCTCATAAAGACTGCAAATCTAGATATTTGAAGCCACAATCCATAGTCTGTTCATCATATCATAATGATCTCCAAAACAATGACTGAGTGCTTATTAAGTACAAATCACTGGACAAAATTAACTTGAGCATAATACCAGGGACAGAAGACACTGTGTACAACCTAAAGCAACTTAAAATTGAAAGAAAGATTATTTTTAAAAGTGAGAAAATACATAGCGCAATGGCTTAACTAACTAATCAGATGTCACATCAGAAGATGTGACTGACAAGTGAAATACAGAAATTATATTTGCTATATAGGCTAAGAAGTAGTGATAACTTTAATTTGAGTTAAACTACYACTATCTTCTTGCCATGCACCATACATTCTGCTCAGCACAGATGCTGTAAAGGCCTATAGCATGCAACAGTGCTCACAAGAAGTTCACCACACAGTAAAGGGATCCTCTATAAAACCAGAATGTATTCCAACAACAACCCAAAGAATAGATAATCTAAACATATGGGTGATGAAGAAAAACACTTAAACGGATAAAACTATGTCTGACTTCACAAGTCAGATTCAAACTCTGATGGACTTACTGATGATTTTTGACACATTTTTCATATATTGATAACCATCCAGTTTTAGACTATCCCACTATTTTCAGAAAAAGACTGTAAGCTTGAAAAGCTACCTCCAAAGAAGCAGGATCTTCCTAAATGGAGGGAGGACAGGCAMTCCTCCTAGAAATATTATGGTAATGATATTACAGTAAAAGGTAATGGCCCACAAAATCTCTTCCCAACCACCTCCTACTCTGATTCGGGGTTTTAAAAAGAGCTTAATTAATATCAATAAATTAGGTAAATTCTATACAAGTATTTACGAATATAAGGCTAAATTCAAGGCTGATTAGATCAGATTTGGAAAACCTAGGTTTTGGCACCTAGGCTTACSGTCTGGGGATGGGTTTAAGATCAGCAGGTGAAGACCAAGGAGGACACGCTTTCTGTAATCAATGTGTATCACAACAACAGGGACAGGAAGGCAGGTTAATATACTGATGGACAATGAATGGTTGGATACCATTAGTTGGGACACTGGAAACACAACAGGTATGAATGTGTGACTTGTTACCATTTCACTACAGTAGGCAAAAAGTATAAAGATTTGCAAAAGGATGTAAAACCTYGCATTTACTTTCTAGTGCTTGGGAGTTGGGGGCTCAGTGGAAAACATCACATCACTCTGAGAAAGGGAAAATGTCTTAGTACTATCCTCAGGGCAGGGTCACCTTAGCCCTCCATTCTTTTATTCTCTTCAAATTAAACCTGAACATCCTGTTCTTACAAAATCAAGTAGGTTTAAAAAGAGTCATGGAAACCACAAAATCAGCCCCAGTGTGGTGTGAGTCAACATTTCTTATACCTACCAATCGGTAGAGCTCAGTAATACTGATGTCCTCTGGATCCACCATTGCATACTCTTTCCGAGGYACCAGGTCCAGTCCTAGTTGTCTAGAAAAAAAAAAATTGCAAAACATTTGGAGAAAGGTCACTTCTATGCAATATATTTAATTACTTTTACTACATCACCTTAAAATTTAGATGTATCACCTACTATCCTTTTCTCACTCATAGCTATACCCTGTATGACTTATTACTACAACTGGGGTAGACAAGTTGCAAGGCGGGAAACTGAGCTTAACCTGAGAAGAAGTGGATAACAAAGATAGGCAAATCAAGGAGGCAAGGGTTGGCATTTAGTAGAATGTTCCTGCCACTCAGGGCTTTCAACACCTATAAACTATCACCAGAAAAGCCCTTCTATACTGGAGTAGGGTGGAAACTAGAGCTAGGAATAATTTGGTTCTGGAAATTGGACTTGAGGAGAGGGAAAGTTGGTGTTTAGGGTTTGGCGTAGTACCAAGTATAGAGTTAACACATTTCTAAGGTGAGTCAGGTCACTTGTGCCTGGAATTAATTCAGAGCAAGTTCTGGAGTAAGACATTTTGAAGAAACTCAGTAAACGAAGGAAACAGAAATTGAGGCAGCACCGTTCTACACCTAGAGTGGTGKAATGGTTTGTTTAAACTTCAGGGTCAGGTGTCATTGTGACCGACATGTGGTTTGTGATGCTAGAAGTATTSTAAGGTTATATCCAGTCTCAGAGGGACCATGCATGGTAATTGATTTGGGCTGTCTTAGCCTGAACAGAGGAATGCGAGTACAAGCCTGTTCAAGCCAGTTTCCCTCCAGTGACCTTGTAACACCCTGCTCCCCAGAGCACCTACTGCACAACACTGATGCCAAAGTCACATTSTTCCATTCATCGCCTTAACCATCCATTACCATCCTACTGGCTTCAACATGCCTTTGCAATACCCTATAGATCAAGAACAAGAAGCCCTCTGTCCACCAGACTCCTCTCAATTACCACACTCCAGGTCTCATGCTTATTGGAAGATAATTTATTTGGCATCCCTTTTACAATATCACTCTTTCCACTACGGGAGCTTTGTAACATTGCACCTCCAATTACAGAACACAGCTTTCTTACTTTTGTATACTAAAAAAAAAAAAAAAATCCATGCCCTTCTCAAAATTTCATTAAAGCTTCATAAGCAAAATTTATTAATTTACCACCTGCTGCAGACCAAATACTGCCCAGCTACCCAGAGAGATATTTGTCCTTAAAACTAGAACAGTATCCCTTCCTTGAGAGCAGAAAGCTACCTTTCAAACTCTAAAAACATTTTCTAAATTTCCCTTATTTGAGTTATTCCTTAAGAAACTCAAATGACACACTCATTCTTCTGGTTGAACTTTCAAATCACAAGCACAGTGATTTATTTTCAACATATCCTCCTATGCCATATCTCACCAGGGATTTTCAAAGGGTCCATTCCCCAATCCCTCCAAAGAGAGACTCACTATATATTATATATACTAAAGTAAGACAGGATTTGATATCAGGAATACATTGCTGATGAAAGATTATCCAGCAAMGAGAAGAGAGCATACAACCACATAAGAACCATGGTGAGAGAAGCTTTGCTGCCCACCTTCTCTCCAGGAAGAGGCAGGAACATAAGGCAGTTATCTGAACATTTCCCCTTCTAATACATACTTGACTGGTCTGCAGGCAGACACCTGATCTAAGAACAAAGAATCCATGGGCTGGCCAGCAGCTTCTGAGAGGCTTGTATAAAGTACCCAGTCCAAATAGAAGGATTAGCTGTCAATGGTATTCCTTCTTTGTGAATTTGAACTTGGAAATTCAGATAGAATTAGCCATTTAATGTGAGGGAGAAAAGATATGTGAAGGGCATCTGATTATCACTGCAGAATGAGTAAAGATCAGCTCCAGATGTGGGCTCCAGAACTTCCTGAACTTTCAGGCCTGGAATCATTATTCTATAAGCTCTTTTCTCCCATAAAACTTGATTTTTCAATTTTTCTTGGCTAACTGGAGTCCCAGCTGTGCGGAAAAAAAAAAGAATCTTGTTTGTTTTTATTTGGTTTTATCAACTTCTAGGTTATCTCCTTAGGATAATCCAGGCACTGTTTGAGGTTTCTTAGCTCACAAAATAGACTCTGGGCAGTGTTCTACAAGGCACACAGAGAAATCAGGCAAGGTAGGGGGAGACAACATGGAGACAGACCCCACAGGATACAGGAAGCCAGAATCTAAGCATGGAGAAATGGTCAGACTTAATGTTAATGCAGCCACTATCCTACTCTGTGTTATATGAAGAAAGGAGGAACTAATTCTCCCTCCCATATAATCTTAGAGATATCAGATCTCAAAGGACATCAAAGCCCTCTATAGGAGACAGAAACATGTACCACTATTTTGCTGACCCCACTAGGAGCCAGATGGATTATGATCTCCTCCACCCAGGCTCCCCATTCCATAGGGCTTCGCTTCAACAGTTTGATAGGCAACTTGAGATTGGACATATTCTTTATTTATGTTCATCCAGAGATTTAAGTATTGACAGATAATTTCCAGGACAATCTGATATAGTTTAATAGGCAAAAAAAATTATCCTCGTTTGCTTTCCACAATGCACTTCAATAGGAAAACAAGTTTATTCTTAAAGTAACAAGGAAAATGCATAATATGTGTGCTACAAATTATTTTTAATAAGTGGACAATGAAATTCAAAGAAAACAGAATAAGAGCTCAGAAAATTCATGAATTTAAAGATGATCTTAATAAATGTATCATTCATTTTCATGCAACAGGGTTTTACCAATTTACCATAAATTAGCCCAACAAATGTTCAAACCACCAGCTAGAACTCATGTAAGTCAAAAACTAAGTCATGATTCAGTCACTCCACGCCTGTACCTGCTTTATTTCTCAGAGAAATGAATGTTCTAGAGATAAATAGATAAGGCTATGCTAGTCACTGAGTGGCACAGCACATTCAAAAAGATGTCATACATGCTCTGGGTGAGTGGCACGATTCAAATCTGTCATTCCTGTAGTATTTAACATCTTGGTGGGAATCACACTTGGCTTCTGATAAAGTGACTTCCTAAGGGTAGGGGAAACATTCTACTTTCCAATTTTCTTTTTGTTGCTGTCGTTTGCATTTTGTCCACTGTTCAAAATGTCCTGACATTTTCTCTCTCTTTTTTTATTCTTTCTTTTTTTATTCTGTTGCCCTAAGATCCTGTGAAGGTCCAAACAGTAAATGAGAGCTTGCGGAAAGGAAATAAAGGTAGGCTATGGCCTTGTAGGATATTATGAAACCATTTTGGTGCCTTAAACCTAGGCCCTATGCAATCCTAGATTGGCTTGTTTGCATTTCTAATTCTTATACTGCCAGTCATACTTAGTGCTATATCAGTTTTGGTCAGAGCTTTTAGTGATTAGACTTACTATTTAAGTGCTTGATTRTTATTTTAAGGTAGTTCCCCACATTTTTATTTAAAGGTAAATCTCCATCAAAAACAGCTTTTTACTCTTCTCCCAAGCAGCTCCTCCCGAGTAGCTGACATGTATGCACAGGAACCATCACAACAGTAATGAAAGGTCCCCGGGGTGCACCTGGCCTAAGCCTTTCAGAAGGAGCTGCTAACATCACTGTCTCCCTTCAGATTACACTGGCAACCCACACCATGATATGGAGAGGTGCACAATAAGAACCAGTACACATGCCAAACCTAAAGCCTACTGGAAGATAAGGTCCATTTTAGTCAGAGGCAATATTTAATTAACCCATATGAACATTTCATTTTATATGAATACATGCACACTATCACACCACACAAGACACTAGAGAGCAAACAATGCCTTGGTGTGACACCAGACCTAAAGAATGTGGCTCTTGGCTCCATCAATGACAGTCCTCATAAAGCCGGTGAAAAGGTCAAAGCCGATGTGATTTCTTCCCACACCTACGTTACTTCCTTTGTGTTCACCCACTAGAGAGTACCCTCCCACAGTCAGTACTCACTCATTGCCCCAGTCAAGGCGGGCAGTAATGTGTCGCTTCACATCCTTCATCCTGTCATGGGTAAGATGGCCAACCAGCACCTGGCGCCGCAGATCCAGGATTTCATTCATGATGTGCCACAGCCGGTGGAAGAGATCACCTTCATTTCTCTAAGAAATATGCAAAGAAGAGAACTGGTAGTCAGTCCCATGCTGAGTTGTAACCAAATAGGAAGGGGCAGGGGGTGAGTCTTGGTTACACTCTATATGCTTGCTGAATCCTGAACAGATTCACCATCAACACACTCATTTCCCTCGTTGTTCTCAAGTGCAAGTATGACTCTACCTGCTTTCATCCAAGTTTCAACAATGCTGCTCTCCTGTCCAAGAATACAACATTCTCCTATTCCTCAACACAACCACAGTGCTCCTGTTTCCAGTATGCCTCCACACCTTCATGTGCTCCTGTCTTYACCTCTGTCCAAACTCACTACTATCCTTCAAGGCTCAGCACGACATCCACTTTTGTGAGGCAGTCTTTCCTGATAACTCTTGCTCACATTCTTTTCTCTCCCCTCAGTGTTATGGCTGCATACAACTAAAGTCGATGAAATAGAAAACATCGTAATCCAATTATATCTTATATAATTSTTATACCTTAACAATTCATTAGATCTTCCCCCACCCTTTTTTTTGTACTAGGGATTTAACTCAGGAGTGCTTTATCACTGATCTACATCCCCAGCACTTTTTTGTTTTAAGATAGGGTCTTACTAAATTGCTTAGGGCCTTAGTAAGTTGCTGAGGCTGGCCTTGAACTTGTGATCCTCCTGCCTCAGCCTCCCAAGTCACTGGGATTATAGGTAAGTGACATCACACCCAGCTAGATCTTACTTTAGAAATTAGGTGCACAGAGGACTCTCAAGCTCATTCATGATAATTCACTGATAAATTTTCACAGTCATTATCTGCTCAGTATTTACTACTTTTAAAAAGTGGTGCTTTTAAATTATTTATACAATYACATAGAATCATGATAACCTCCTATGAAAATCATTAAGCTCTGTGGCTTAGTGAAAAAAGATGGGTTAAACTCCTGACTTCAAATCCTGGACTTGCCACTTACTAGTTTCATAAACTTTGAGTATGGAGTTTTGTCATCTTTAAAATAGGGAAGTACTATCTTTATACAAGATTGTTTTATAGATTACAGGTAACATACATGAAGATAGCAGCATAGCCATGTTAAAGAGCACCAATTTAGAGCCCAATGACCTTCTAATTTTAGCATTTATTGGCTTAAAAAACCCTCAGTGATTCATTAACTTCTTTGTGTTGTTTTCTCATCTATTAACAGGTATCATACTACCCACCTAAAAGGTTGTTGTCAGGATTAACGAGTTAGTATATTAAAACTCTGAAAACAATGCCTGGCCCCAAATAAATACCATTTCAGTAATTATCCATTACTAATACAGCTACTAGGCTCTCTACAAATACTGTTTCTTTAACAAAACCAAAATATAGATCTCTTGTCTCACAGATATCAGAATAAATTTTTTTTGGGGGGAGATGGAGTACTGGAGATTCAACTCAGGGCACTTGACTACTGAGCCACATTCCCAGCCCTATTTTGTATTTTATTTAGAGACAGGATTTCACTGAATTGCTTAGTGCTTCATTTTTGCTAAGGCTGGCTTTGAACTTGTGATTCTCCTGCCTCAGCCTCTTGAGCTACTGGGACTACAGGTGTGCACCACTGTACCCAGCCCAGAGTAAATCTATGTAAGGATTCACTTCTTACCTTCCTTAACGAGAAGCTGTATTTTAATTTTCACAAAAATCATTAGAAGGTCACACAAAAAGTGGCGGTTATCAATTACCTGAAGTCCTCTCACGCCACAAGCTGTAGGAGATGTCAGGTTCCCGTGATGGGTAAAGACACTGAGTGATAACACATTTTTTTWAATTTTAAAAAGTAGTGAAGTGTTTTATACCTTATTGATACTTGGTGTCTTGAGGAGTTTTCATGTGCTGTGCAGGTCAGACAAATGTGCAGAGGACAGAAAACATTCTCTAGGATGCATCCCTGATCCTCTGGGAAATAAATAATCTTGCTCTCAACTCCTAAAGCACTCTATCGAGCCTGTCTTCTATTACTTTTTGCTCTTGTGATACACTCCCATACAAGCAAGAGTACTATGACACAATACTCTTATAATTAGCAACCCAGGGTCTGTGTCCTCCACGTGGCTTTTAGAGCCCAACCACAGGGGCTGTGCCTGTCTTTTGTAACCCCTGCAGGAGAATGAATGGGGACTTTGATTTAAAGGTATTATTATTATTTTTTTGTGTGGACCTCAAGAGACAGATTCTGTTTAGGTCTTACAAAAGAATAAGCTGGGAATATCAAACATTTGATGAAATCAGTAGTGGGAAGGAAAAGTCCACTGAGTAAAACAATTCCATGAGGAAGTATAAAAAGAAATCAAATCTCATGCAGCAAAGGAGAGAGCCAGCACCCTCTTGAACTGACTGTCACACTGAAAGGCCACATGCCTGCACTTGGAGATGAGGTCTGCAATCGTTCTATAAGATGGACTTGTTTTTCTGTGATGTTACCTCCTGTACTTCAATTTAAGATAATGTAAAGATGAGAAGAAAGCGGTATCCTTTGTAAACATTAAAGCCAGCTGGTCAGCTTTCCCTTTAAGGGGTGGAAGAGACATTGTCATGCTACAGGCTTGGCCACCTGATTTCACCACCACTGTAAAAATAAGTGTTTTTACACAGATTACGAGATTGCACATCTCGTCAAAAAAATGATAGTTCATAAAAATTGGATGTGTGAAATTGGATAATTATGAAGACTATTCAGAAATAAAAATGCTTTGATTCAGTGTTAAATGAAAAAGTATGGTAACATATCAAACATTTGGAATAAAACAGTATCTAAAAATTCCTGCAATATTTCAGAAATGTAGCAAACAGGTTTTTACAGCAGCAGACCTAGATTTAGATTCAGGCTTTACCACTCAATGTGGGACTCTGGATAAATCATCTTTGATAAGATTTGAGAATAAAAGTTACCTGGCAGAGCCCCAGGGAAGATAAATGTAAAATAGCTCAGGGCTGAACCAAAGTACTCAGTAGAGGATGAGCACTGTATTTCTCCTAAACTTTCTGTGGTTACATTACTAATATTTTGTTAAGTGTTATTTTAAAAGACATAATTCAGGCCTTTACCAATATTATTTAGAAGAGCAACAAGCACTGCTCAAACATTTACCATGTGCTTTTATTCTAAGCATTTGGCATACATTATATAATATTTACAATTTACAAAAAAATACTGCCCTCATCAAACACCTTTCAGTGAAGAAGCAGGTACTTTGAAATCACTGGAAGAGAAAATGGACAGTATCCAAAATACTCTCAAGCATAATGAAACCTGAACCAAACCCTAGGCACAGAACATTTACATCAGAAAGAGAGAACCAAAAGGTCCAAAGTGGCCAAGTTAGCCTCATTCTCAGTGCCAAAACTGATATCTCAGGATTGAAATTTACATTTGTTCCTCATATAATCCACTACCATTTTAGTAGCCAGGGAATCTGTTAGATAATTATCTCTCTTTCCCATTACTCAGGACACCAGAAGAAGAGATTACTTCCAGAGTTTACAACACATAGATTTTTCAAACCTACCAAGTCTGTCCCCAAAATAGATGCCTCCAACCTCAAAAGCAGGTAAAAATAGCTAGATAAGACAGAATCAAAAGGAAATTCAACTTTGTTCCCTACTAGAAGCTACATAAAAGGAAAAGTCTGGGTGTTGCAGCTCAACTAATGGACAACACTTACACTGTCATTATTTTTATAACTTTCTTAAGTTGGGTATTTGGGATGCAGTGGTTCAAACTTTTCAAACAATGTGTCACACAAAATGCTAATTCAAATGAAATAATGCCTGGATTTAATATTGTTCCCAGCATAAATTTTTAAAAAYTAATAAAAGAAAGATTTGCATTTCATTAGCACTATCTTGGTACACAGCCCTCCCTGTGCATCAGCTATCTTGACTTCATGTTTACAAGGACCACACTCTGGCAGTTCATCTAAGATGTAAGCTTTGTCATGTGGATTTTCCCAGTGAGTTCTAAAGCCACCAGCTCCAGAATGGTGTGGCCAGAAAACTTCAGGACCAAAGGATTTTGGTTAGTGACTTTTCAAGATATTCTTCTCTCAATGAAACACCCTATTCATTTTAGATGTAATAGACAATATAAACTATCTTTCTGTGCTTATGCCCCTTACTAATTTGGATTTTTCTCTCAGGCGACTTAAAATAATTTTGTCAGAATAAGCACACCTTTGGATTTTGAACACATTCCTTCAAATGATTAAATTGTTCTAGAAATTTTTTTTTGAAAATACAAGGAGAAATCTCATTACTCTTCCTCAAAACTTCATCACCCTCTGACTTCAGCATACATAGTAGTTTGCATACATAGTACCAGGTTCACATCAAAACTCTAGCTCAGCTACTTTCCAATGAGAGTAGTTCCCTTTATCTGCAGTTTCAATTCCCAGAGTTTCATTTATCCACAAGTGACTGAGTTCTCAAAATATTAAATGCAAAATTCTACAAACAAACAATTCATAAATTTTAAAGAACTTTTATTATAGTATGTTATAGCTGTTCAATTTTATTTATTATTGTTGTTATTCTCTTACTGTGCCTAATTTGTAAAATTAAACTTTATCACCGATATTTATCATAGATAAATATTATAGATATTTATTTTGGAAAAAAATATAGCATAGTATATATTTGGGGTTCTGTATTATACAGTTTGAAGCTCCACAGGGGTCTGGGATTATATCCCTGGCAGATAAGAAAGGGACTACTGAATATGGAGTACTTCACTCTCTGGGCTTCATTTTTCCCTTTCATAAGCTAGAGATGATCACAGTTATTATTTCCTTGATTAACCATAAGGAATACATGAAATACTGTACATGGAGTAGTTCCAGAGGGATCTGTTGTATAACAAGCACTCAATAATGTAATCATATATACCTTAAAACACCGATTTTTTKTTGTTGTTATTGTTGTTGTTGTTCAAGAAACATTCCCTTCCTTAGTATATTTAGAATATTCTCACTGACTCTGGATAAGAAGTTGTCATTTATAGTACACTTGAATTATAGAATTAAAATATGATAAACTACCGCTCCCACTAAAACTGTATTAAAAATAAACTTATTTGTCCTTGAGAATTCAAAATATTCAGGAAGTCTAATAGTAGATCCATGTAAACCATCCTATTTGGTTAGATGTCAGAAAAGTCACCTTTTTTTATCCTGCGATATTGAAAAATAACGTATGAGACCCATGCTCAGTGCACACAGAGATTACGAGGCTATGTCTTATAAGATCTATATCCTGGTTTCCTGAGAAGTCCTAGAGACTTACAGCAGGTGCTCAAATGTCAGTCAATGTTTATTCGTGTTCAGATACTGCTTAAGAAAACTCTCTGCCCGAAAAGCCGCTACACTAAAAAAAAAGAACTTACCACGTAGAGTTGTTTCCACATGGTTCCCCAGTCTCTTAATGTTGATGTCATTTCTGTGATAACGGAGTCTTCAGTAGGAATAACCATTTCAAATTGTCTGTGAAATTAGAAAAGAAAAGGCCTATATGGAAAGACCATGGGCAACAATTTGGTTTTAAGTACTCTAAAACATAAACTAGGAAGGAGAGCCATCAACTTATTTGGGGTCCTGAAGACAGTAACTGGGACTTGATTATGAGTTTGTGTGAGGACAGTCACGGGGCAATGCAATACCCAAGGGAATCAGCCAGTTCATCCAGATTAAGTGTGATCCCTGCAGTAGAGAAGGAACCACATAAGAGTTCTACTCTGGTGACAGGGTGACCAATAGACCAATAGACTCTTTTAACCTCTCCTAGCCCCAAATCCACATGAGGTCACCAGACATTACATAGTCTGAGGTGAACTTTGCCTTCCAAGTGCTATGACTCCATGAGATACCAAGAGAGTAAAAGAAACACTACTGAGCCATCAGGATGGGAACACTCAAATGAACATCCTTATAAACCGGACACTGGGACCCTGAGTGAACACACAATGGAGGTTATTAACCCTTCATTTTTATTATATGTGAACCAGACCACGAAAAATCATTAGCACTATTAGTAATGTTATCATGCAGCATTAAATTTAAAGGCTTTTAACACTTCCTAGATATTTAAAAATTCATCCAAAATGTTAAGGTAACAATTAGGGTAATGCAGTCTTTCCATTTCTTCTCTAAAAGTCAGAAACTATAAAAATATTCATACCAACATTTAATAGATATGTGTCTTTGTCCTGAAGTTAAGAAATGTAAGGAGATAAGAAAAAAAAAAAGGGAAGATTTAATTTGTCTTTTTTATTCTGTCTTTGTCATGTAATGATCTCCTTTTCTGCATCTCTAGCTTCTTTTTTCCAATCCTTTCAATGCTGGTTAAAATGGTTACGTGGTTATTACCACTGCATCTCAAAGAACACCATTGGCTATGTTGATGGAGACTGTTTTCTTTATTTCATTACATTTTCTCAAGGACAACATCTAATATGTAAAAGGTAACAGCTTCTTAGACACTGAACCAGGTCATCTCCATGATCAAGGGAAAATTACTTCTTAGTATGAGGCTCATAACTGCTCTGTCGTTCCTTTTTGATGGTATGTCCAAAGTGTGTATAACTGTCTTTTATAAAATCTTCTTAATGGAAGTATAGGAACTAAAAGTTTGCCTTGATTCCTTCACCAGAGCTCCATCTCCTCATTTCATATGGCTGCTAATACCTACCCTGTGAATATTTTCCTTCATTCTAGAGCTTCACATAGCTCAAAATGCAAAACTGGAATTTAAAATTAGAATTAAAAGCAAATATTGATATATGACTTGTGACAAATATAGAACCTTTTATTAAGTCTATATATGACATTTTCCAGGGGTGGTACATCATTTATTTTGCTTTTGAAGCAGCTGTTGCAATTTAAATGATGACTATTTGGAGATAGAGAGATTATAAAATGATCTTACACAAGGTCAGGGAGGGAACAACGAATTTCCAAGAAAACCTGACATCCTGCTCAACATTTTAAAAGTGACATGACCTCAGCAAGAACAAACCAGAAGTGGCCTCACACACAAACTATCACCTAAAGGTCCCCATCAGTCCTCCATTGCTCTGAAAACTCAGAAAAGACTATAAAGACAATTCAATATGTGGGAAGTTGATGAGAGAGCTGTCCAAACAAAATGCAAGTTTTTAAGCACAAAACTGCCATTTGGGCAAGGCAGTTTTTTCCTATTAAATACACAAAAACCAAAACTAAAATTCAAATAGTCTATCATAAGCAGTTGCTTTGAAATTATATWTTTTTTTCATTTATTCTGAAATGTACTTTGCAGCAACTTCATCCCAGTGGAACATCAGGTTGAAAATCTGCTTCCAACAAGATAGGTACCTTCAAATTCCCACAGAGATTCTTCTCTGGGTAACTAATCATCTGGCAATACATGTTCTCAAATGTTTTCAGACCAATGTTTTTCTTCCAATAACAGTCCCAGAACCATGGGTCTGACCAACTCCAATAATTCTTTTTTAGAAAATGAAGTCTGTTCTATTCATAAGTTCTTCTGCTGCCCCATGCCTATCATGCCTGGTGTCAGGTAGATACCTCATAGGCAAGTCTTAAACTTGCACAACCAAATTTTGAGATAACTTTACCAGCATTTAAGCTTTCTTGAGGCATATGGAAGGGGGCAAGATATACAACATTGCAAAAAAAAAAAAAAAAAAGTAAGTCCTTACTTTAAAACTATGTCCCACTCCAATGCCCTTTGAGGGGTGGATGCTGACTAAGTGGAGTAATGCCTGATATCCCTTTTATCCCCTGCTCTATTTTTCTCTTCCTTGATCAGTGTCTGATGGAGGCTGGGTGGGTCTTGGGGCCAATGCAGCAAGAAAGAACTCAGAGGAAAGAACTGCAGGGTCTTGTCCAGATAAGCACTTTAAGGGCTAGGATAGACCCCAGAGTTTCAACAATGCCCATTCCAGATAACTAGGGCAGAGAGATCAGGACAAAGAAGCAGTATGCGGCTGAAAAGCTTTCTGTCCTGAGCTCTGGTTTACTTGAACAGGGCTGGACAGTTTCAAGCCAGGGGTGGTAGACTTCAAAAGGACTGGTAACTTTGCTTGATAATTGTGGGGGGTATAGCTACACATTTCTGAAGGATATGTATTTATTAAAAGATTTCTATCAGCAGTGGTAAGTATTTGTATTAGAATTATAGTTTCAATCTACTATTTTTGAAAAGTTACTATTTCCTACTAATAATACTTGGTTAAAGTAGCTGACATATATAAGCTATATGGGRTAATAGTCTCCTAGATGAACTTTTATCCATATAGGAAATATTTATACCGTAGAATCTCTTTCACTGAACAAAAATTTAATACTGTACCTTTACAGAGGGTGAACATAAAAATCACCATTTGAATAACATACTTGGAACTTTTCTGGTAAAACTAAAATTTGAAGATATTATTTACTCTGGTTTAAGAGTTCAAATACCAGATTGCTATTATAACTATTTGAGGAAGAATGTAATTTCTATGGCTGAATCTGTACTCTGGTTATAAAATTAAAATTATACAATGACCCAATAAAGATTCCCTATGATAATGGCTCTAAATGTTTTATGTCCAAATCCATCTTACAATGAGTCTGTTCATTAACTTTATTTATTTATATATTTTAGTTGTAGTTGCACACAATACCTTTATTTTACTTACTTATTTTTATGAGGTGCTGAAGATTGAACCCACTATTTTTTATTTTGAGATAACTTTACTCTTGCTTGAGTGGTATTATTCTGACAGACGCTACCAATCATTTTAGGAACTGATTGAAAAAATGTTAAATATATAAGAAATCGTATATAATCAGTGAGCTCAATCAAACTGAGTGTCATATAAATAATATTCTCTAAAGGAGAACAATGGCTTTGTGGAATGCTAACACTAAGACTATGGTATTATGCTCATTTAGAGAAAGATAGACTTGGCTTCTTAAAATCGGTGGTAAATTGAGGAAATTCTTGGGTTTTGAGAAGACATGACTTAACATTTTGTAGATCTAACTGCCATGCTTCCTTAAATAACAGGAAACCAAAATAACCAACTCCTCTGCTTAAGATTGAGCTGGTTCCATGATATGCCAACAACGAGAGACCTCAGTCTCTTAGATCCCATCATTGTCCTGAAGGAGCAGATGGGTTCTCTAATTCCCTCCACCAATGGCCTTAGTCAGCGTCTCTTCATCAAACAGCACCAACAATATCATGACCTTGTACAGCTCATTTTTCAAGCTTGCATGAATTATAAAATTCCAAAATAGGTAATAGCTTTGTGAAAATCCTCCAACTACTAAAACAAACAAACAAACAAAACAAAAAACCCTTATTTCTTACCCTTTGTTCTTTACACAGGCATTTTTCAAGTGAACATAGCTGGAAGGAAATATACCCTGGAAGAGAAAACACGAAGGTTAGGGTGCTCACTGACTCTTACGGCAGGGTGGGCTCAGAATACAAATGTAAAAGGCACACACAGTAGGACAATATTAGGAGTTAAGAAAAAACATCTCTCCCACATGCCACAGGCTGAAATCCCTTGTGGCACAGGCCCACTCCTTTAACTCTCTATTACCAGCTCCTTAAAAACCTCAAATATTCTCTAAAATCGGAAAAAAAAATCAAATGTCACATGACAAATGTAATAATGTACTCAAATGTAAAATAGAAAGCGAAACAATTTCGGGAATACTAAAATAAAAACCATGCTATAGTGAATAGATGTTTAAAAATATTCCATGCATGAGTGATTATGTCAAAAGGAACCCCATTATTATGTTTAGCTATAATGTACTAATAAAAACATAAAAGTAAAATATAATAAATAAAATACAACATGGTTTTAATAGATGTTTGTTTGTTTTAGTTGTTCTTTTCTTTACCCCCAAACGCTCATGGTTTTATTTAACCATATACACTAAAAAGAAAAAAAAAACACTGTGAATTTGGAGACTATCTGTACTGTGTGTTATGGAAGATCTTTGATGGCAGCACAGCAGCAATTAATCACTATGCTGCCATTCTGATGGCACAAAAATTAAACAAAAGAAGCCATGCTCACATAAAGCTTTTTATTATAGAGAAATGATAGGGCAAGGAAATTGTTCCTCTGTTCTAAATGGGAAATCGAAAGAAACAACAACAAAATGAGCATCAATTTTATTTTCTGTTAAGTGACAATGTCCTCTGAAGAATTTATCATGTATAATCAAATGACAAACTCAATTAAATATTTATGAAAACAAATGTCATTTGAATATGTTATCACTCCTGTGCACCCAAATATAAAATAAAACTTAATAAGCAAACTCTATATATTCAACTGTAGTAAATATGGATATAGATTTTTTAAATTATTTTTTTTCTGCAAAACTTAAATTTACTTCAATATGATACGATTAACAAATGGAGTAAATGTAATTAATAAGGAAAAGTTAGAATTGAGGTTTGTTAGATATGACTAAAGTAACTCAGAAGTCATAATAAATTTTTCCCAAACATGCTCTAGATGAATAATTAAATACTGAGGCTATATTTTCATGTGCCTTGCAAATGTCCAAAAAGTACTTTAAATGAGGGCTAAAGTATTAAAAAATTAATTTGTATACTCTTTTGTCCTTAGGCTCTCCTTTTAGACTAATCTAAAATAATAAAATGAAGTAATTAAACACAGTTGGAAAAGCCACATTTGAGCAAAAAGACAAGAGAGTATAGTTATCTTATGCTGTGTTTTGAGAATGAGAAATGAAACACTTTCTCATTAACAACTTTAGTATAGCTAGAATTAAACCAAAAAATGAATATGACATATAAGAAATATTAGAGACTGTGGGAAGTATGAGTGAAAGCTGGGGAGATTGAAATAAGGTAGAAAAATGTAGATATTAGTAAGGCTTAGTGTCAAAATCACAAAGTATCCCAGTGAAAGATAAAACAAAAATCACATACTTCCTACTATAATTCCCGAGGATTTATATAAGTATATAAAGGATAATGAATCTTAGTTTCTGTCTGGAATAGTAAGAAAGGTGGACATTTTTATAATATGATTTTCCAGGTTTCAGTTCCCTAAGCCAAGGAGACTCTTAATGTGCCACTACAATGAATCTGTTTCTCCACACCAGTGTTTACAAATGATACCACAAAAGACTTAAAATTAAATGCCTCTATTCCATATTTCTTTTGGAACTATATCCCCCTTGCCTGAATTTTAATTTAGTTCTTTGAGAAACTAACACTTCAAAAAGATTTTGTTTATATATAATGAGCTTATTAAGGTCTGCTCAGTACAATTTTCAAGAGCTATATAGGATTATCATTTGAGTAGCATATCTTAACTGTAATCCAAGTTCAAAGGAATTTCAAGAATTATAAAAATCCTGTATTACCATTTTGCATTTTAACTAAGAATACAAACTATAATTTCAATTGTATAGGAAGATAATTTAAATAGTTGTCTTTTTGTAAAATCCTATAATTACGGTTAGAAATTACAGTTTTTACCTTGATATTTGGGTTTTTTAAGGCAAATCCTCTGTACCAGCCTGTGGAGAAATAATCATAGTCATATTTTGATGGACCATTATAATATTTTAAAGATAAAAAATAATTACAAATTAATCTATTCTTTGCTGATGAAATTTTACCCTACATGTAAATACTTTATAAATAAACATGGTGGCAGTCAGAATTAGGTTAGATAATAGCTCAAGTGACCCGCACTTTAAGTGTTTTAATAACAAACTGTTAAAAATTATACCACAACTTTAAGTAACAAACAGAAACATGCATAATGGAAACAAACTCTTTGGAATCAGTACTGGGTTTAAATTCTCACTTTACAAATTACTAGCTTTTTAATCTTGGGCAAGTTACTTGATGTACCTGAGTACCAATTCTCCCCATTTTATAAAATGTCACCCTATGTATAAGGGAACTTCAAGAACGTGCACATGACATAATACATTTCTAAATTTTTCTTGCCTATCTAAAAAGCACAGACTCTACCACCAAATAATAGTGCCAGACTAGCAGTCATGCAGTGAATTTGCATACCCTTAAACTCCGTGTCTTGGATTAGGATTAGTTTCATAGCAGAAGAGGAAAACCAGGTCTCACCACTCCCAGAATGAACTAGCATACTTCAGCAACACCATGTCTGTTCAATGAGCTCACTGTGATTTTTATTCTGTAGTTTGCTTATTATTTAAGCTCCAAGCAATTCTGAATCAATTTTACAGTACTACAAGAGGAACATACCTTTTTGTAATTGAAAACAAATGTAGAGTATATGTATGAATATATGTGATTAACATATAACCCAATTTAAAAGTATTATTTTCAGACTGCATCACTTTCAAGTGCAAAAATTATCTGCCCTCTTTGTAAGAAATTATTTTGCTATGCATYGGTTGATTAATTGAATTTCTAAAAGCAAATATTTGAGATTTGTATTTAAATATTTTATTCCTCATAATGCATTTTCTAAAAGGACATGCAGTATTATAAAATATCATTTTTTATAAAAACAGTCTGAAGAAAGCAGAATGAATTGAAACAGTAAATACCTCAGGATTTACAAGATTCTCATAAGGAAAGATTAAAAAAAATGTATCAATCAGTAAATAATTATCCTAACAGAAACCAAAACTTTTTGAGAATTGCAAACATGTCATAGAGAGTTCTCTGTCCAATTATATCACAGAGAAAACTTTTCATGCACCAGTTCAAAATAAATTTTGTCTTCACCTGTATACAAAATAAAAATGGACAACATGCATCTAGTAATGACATAGAAAACTATCAATTACAGTGAACAGAACAAACACCTATGTATCATCACCATTTAATGCCAGGCTCTACCTAAATTCAGGCTCTAACTAAATTTGTTAGTGGGAATACAATTTAAACCATGAACAAAATTGATGAGATAAAATAGTATCATACTATAAATTCCTAGTAAGGAAAGCCTCTAGGGAAAAAATGGTTATTTTTGGTTATTCTGATGATGGTCTAAAATATATAGTAATTTTGTTAACAAGGAAAAAAGAAGAGGTAGTCATTTCATCTGGGATCTCGTGAGTACTGGAGTTCAGGGATGTTTCATAGAAAAGAAATGGAAACATGTGAGAATATATTAGGTACCTTTAATATAAAGGTACATAAATTAATAATAATAATACAGGATCATATAGTCTACTAACATTTCAATGTATTGAATAATTTTACTCCCAATTTGGGAAGAGGAAAGATTGACAAATTAGAGCTGACTTGGCCTGGACAGGAGTCTTCCTGAGGGATCTGGTTAACCAGCCTCAGGTAAGCCATTTCTGGGCTGGACTTCTGTTTCTTTCTTTTGCAAAGGCAGGAGGGGATGTGCTAGACTCTTGAGATTCTGAGAAAAGCSTCCTTGTTTGGCACTGAGTCATGAACTCCCACAAACAGAGTAGCTTCAATTGCTTTCTATTTTGCCATATATTGACTACAAGGAAATAATACTAGGAAAAAAACATAATCACCTTTAAAAATACCAAATGTTGCTATTCCATAAGCCAAATATTCAATGCACAAGAAACAAGTTTTGCCAAAAACAGTTGTCTGTTAACTACTGGAAARTTTCCAGAAATTAACAGAGGAAAAAACGAATTTGTAAACTTCATAGAACCCTGGGTTGAGGAGATCGCTCATGTGACCTCAAACAATCATCATCAGCCACTCACCATCACACTTCTCCAGGATCTGAACTGTGTCCCCAATTTCCAATGACAGGCCATATGGGACAGTTCCTCGAAAACTGGCAATAACTGTAAGAGATGACATAGAATATATGAAGGCAATCATGTCACTTACAGCCAGTTAYACTGCTTACAATTAAATGTTATTGACTAGAAAAAAATGAATGTGAACAGGAAGTCACTTTAATARCTAGAAGCTGCTGTCATTTTACTTTTATATAATTTTACAGAAAATCATTGCTTATATAGTTTGCCAACTTCTTAGTGAAATAAACATTATAAACATGCATTTCAAAGTAGAATTTACTATYAGTATACAAAACATCAAGTCTATTGCCCAATTACGTATAAGCAAAGGTATTTCTTAAAGAGGTCTGTGAGGGCTTGTGTCTCTAGGGCACTGCTATATTCCCTGGTCAATCCAGGTACCTGACATTTTAGTTGAAAATACATGTTCAGTAAYAAATAAATACATTTTTTTTTACTCATTATTAAGCTTGGTTTTCCTTTCTTCTATACTTTTTGAAGCAGATGTCCTTTCCCTAGACTATAAACCCTTCAAGAGACGGGACTGCATCTATTTGCTACCATGTCCCCAAGGACCTTGTCAAGGTTGCGGCTTAAAAGCAGTCTTCCTGTGGTAGCAATCAATGGCGACATTTTATTTAATAATGACTGAGCCCTCCCCTAGGACTAAAGACACAGCCACCACAATTCCCACATGCCTTAGCTCTCATATCATTTGGAATGGGAGGTCACCATTAGTTATAGATTAATGGTTTAGATTGTTCTCAGGAAAAATATGCGGGGGGAGGGGTGGTACTAGGATACACTACCTACAGACAGGATATGCATGGATTAGTCATCCCCAGACAACAACTTCAGGAATTAYAGAAAGAATGATGTTCAGTGATTCTCTCTTGGACAGTAAAAGCTCAAGTCATAAAGATGGATGGAGAAATAAAGAAAATATATCTCARCACACAAATAGAGACAGGACATCTACTATGAAACACTATGGATACTGAAATCAACTTGTAATTCACAGCAGACAAAAAGGATTTTTTTAAAAGACAAAAAAAATTTAAATAATCTTTAGAATTTTGTTTTGGGTAGTGGGGTTTAGATAAAAACCCCAGTCCTCAAAGCAAGTTTCTGTTACTGTTGGGAATGTATTTGAAAAGCCTGAAGGAACACCTGAATCTGTCAAAAATCAAAACATACCAATAAGTAATGGGCTTTTAGAGAAGTCTCAAGCCCTTTCATGATCTCAAAACAAAATTAACAGTGGAGATCAAAACACRGGACAGAAAAACGCAACCCAAAGTACCATAAGATAGATGAAAATAACCATGTAGGAACCAATTTAGAACATTTCAGACAAGCACTAATTTATGATGTCATTTTCTAACTATAACCATAAATACCACATTGCCTCATATCAGTGTGCAAGATGTTTGCTTGAAAAATAATCAAAAGAGTCTATGCATCTTACTCAATGTAACTTTCAGAAAACTTCTTATATAAGAGATCACCAACTGGACAGTAGATTGATCAGTTTAAAAGACTTCAAAATAAACTTGTACCCAGAATTGTCTTTCTAAACTCATAGAAACTTTCTATGTCTTTCTCAACCAGCTGGTTCAACATGGGGCAAGGTGAATGCTGCTCTGAGACATCTAGTGCCTGGACTTCCCAACCCAGTTTTAAATGCAGCTTTTACCACACATAGAATCCCTTGTACACCCAAGGAATACCTCTCCTCCTGCTGGTTGCCCTGCCCCTCCCCGCTCACCACCTTGAACTTGTGAATTTCATTTCTTCACCTTCCCATCATGCCTCAACCTACTGGGTCCAGACTACATTATGTTATGAAACTGCTGTGAARTATCCAGACCCCTCACAGTGGTCACATTCACATTGCCTTTCAGTGTACTGTGTTCCATAAGTCGTCTACTGCTTGTCCCACATCCTCTAGACTTCTCTAGACCACCTTTTAAATGCTGGTGTTATCCATGGTTCTCTCCTCAAGGTGCTACAGTAGAAAGGATGGGATAGAGGAAAACAGCATTGAGTGGCATTATGACACGTGGGTTCAAGCCCCAATTTCACCTCTTATTAGYTATGTGACCTTGGTCAAGGTACCAACCTTTCCGAATCTCCATAGGGTTACTGGGCAAATTCAGGCAATAATGAAGATACTGTTAAAAGGTAGTAAGGAATTACATAAGACATCTATCTGAAATAATTTACTATATTACCTTGTATAATTCAGTTTAAAAACACCTCAGTTGTTAATAGTTTTTCCCTTTATCCATATACATTCTCCCTAGATGGAAAGAGTTCCAAGACTTTCAACATTCTCTCGAGTTTGATATATTTCCAACTTTCTAGTCTGAGCTGTGCCCCAAGCTATTGACAAACTTCAATGAGTGCATCTCTATTCAGATGTTTAAATATCTAAACTTAAAACATAGTGTGCCTCCAACTGAATTCATTGTCTCCAATATTCCAGCAACCAAATCTGAGCTATTTCTCTCTCCAAGCATCCACTTTAAAATATTAATCTACAAAGCCATAAATGAGAATGACTTTATGACATWTGCTGGAAAATGGACAGATCTAGAAACTATCATGCCAAGTGAAATTAGCCAATCYCCCCAAAATCAATATTCTCTCTGATATGTGGATGTTAACACACAACAAGGGCGGGGAGGGGAAGAATACAAGTCCAATGGATTAGACAAAGGGGAATGAAGGCAAGAGAGGGGTGGAGAATAGSAAAGACAGTGGAATGAATCAGACTTAACTTCCCTACATTCAGATGCCTTCAAACCAAAGTTATCTTCCACTGTTCTCTTTTCGGTTGAATGATGGCACCAACCACTGATTACAAATCAGAAACCCATGGGCCATCCACATACACCCTGATCCACATCCCCCACCCATTACCATGTCACAATGATCTTGTCTTCTAAATATCTCTGGAAATCACCTTTGTCAAATACTTTGTCTCTACTCCCACCCACACCCAGGCCTTGTTATCACCTCCTTCCTGGTCCTCTCCAGCAATCTCCTAATGAGTCTATGCCCACTTCCTCTCCAACTCATCTATCACACAAGATTCCAGAGGTATTTTCGAAAATGTACATTGGATGATGTCATCCTCCACCTAAATTTATCAGAGCTCTAAGAATAATATAAAAATTACTACCTTAGCCTTGTAAGGCCCTGCCCTTCCCTTAGGTCTCATCCTGTACGTCTCAACCCTGATTCTATAGTCCAGTCACAGTGACCTTCTGTAAATATCTTCTTGCTATATTCACTCTGAAAGGACTTTGTGCATGACACTCCTCTTACAAGGAATATTATTCTCTTACCTCCTTACCAATGAACCCACATTCATCCTTCAGATACCAGCTCAGTGATCTCTTTCTCAGGGAATCTTTCCTTGATGCACAGCCTTTCACCCCAACTTACATGTACTCACAGCACCACATTCTATTTAATCAGACCTTTTATTTGTGCAAGTTTTGGAATKATGGCTTTTACAATAGACTGTCAGCTCCATGGATGAAGGATTGTGTTGACTTCAACTTGTAATTGTATACCCAGTTCAGCAGAGAGTATGACACATAGACTGAGCTCAGCAAATAATTGCCAAGTAAATGAAAGAGAGTGTGACCATTACTTTTAAATATTTTCTCTGAAGCAGTCAAATTCCTACGTTACAGGGAACACTATTTTAAGAGGGTGCTTCAAATTCTGAGAACCAAACCATATTACCTATGAAAACTCATTCTGTCACAAGAGCTATTTAAAGGTAGAATGAGAGTTTTTCTCAGTTATAACCATGTATTAATTCATTTTTAATCCAAGCAGTCTAAAAGAGTGAATTATGATTTTATTCATCAGTTTTTATTATTTAATTACTATTAAAGATAAGCTAATAAGTTCTTTAACCTCATTAGCCTTCAGATGCTTCCTTTATAAAATAAAGGAGCAAGACCAAAGGCACTGAAAGACCCTTTCAACCCATGAGATTCTGAGTCTGGAAGAAGCCTTAAGATATGTTTATGGCATAAGATGTATTTAAGAACTCTGTCCTAACCCAGCCTGTTTTGTCACTGTGATCAAATGGACATCTGTTCCAATCTGCAACAGCCGTCTGAGAAAGCCAAAGGAACAGACATCTCTCAGCATTTCATTGAAGAGCCTACCAAGTGCTCTCCTTCTGCCTTTCCAGGTTCACTTCTGCCCTACCCCTCTGCACACTGCCCTATGCCCCAATTCTCATCAAGCTCTTACCTGGAGCCCCAGTGCCTTTATACATATTATTCCTTCTTGGGGGCTTGCCTTCCCCAACCTTTCTATACTAGGCACTGAAAAGTAGCCTCAATTTAAGGCTTAGCTCCAATGTTAGGCCTTTAGAAGATTTCCTGAAGGAAATCTTGGATCCCATGGAATCAATTACTCTTTCAGGTATGCTCCCAAGGCACACTGACCACACCTCAAGTGTGAATGTTTGAGTACACAAATGCAGTCAAGCACCCACAAGGAAAGGAATAAACGGATRGATGACACCACAGAAAAATGGTACCCAAGTTTTAATGGATTCAGACAACCTCACAGACATCTAATATCTAAGTAGTAAATACTAAACCACAGATCATATTGGAGAACTCTTTCAGGGTATAGTTCAAGGTATGACTTTGATTTTACTTCTGAAATGGCAAGCCACTCTGAGTCTTTGAGTTAGTAACTCCAGCTTTCTATGCACTAACGAATGCTACACCAGCAAAGATATTTAGGCTTGAGATTATAAAAGGGAAAACTGAAAGAAGAAAGAAGTTCAGGGCCAAAAAAGAATAAGGATTTGAAAACATGGCTGGTTCATGTTTGTTACTGGTAGCATGTACTGTATCACAAACTAAACATAATTTAGTTTAGCAAAGACTCAAAGACAACATATGCCTTGATAGTCTCAATTGGCATTTCCATCAAATGCACTTAAAACATATGTTATTTTTAGATTTAATTTTGGAAACAACTTTCCAACCAAACCTCAT